CCCCCCCCCCCCCCCCCCCGTACTCTTCCTGTACGTGAACCCCCTCCACAGATCGTTCTCCCGCCGACGGCACCGACCAAACGGCGAAAAGAAAAAGTCCCCTGCCGGCGTTGCACTCGGTCGGGTTTCCACGCCTCCAGGCTCGAAAGGAGTGGGCGTGGCGGACCAAGCTGGCGTTTTCAGTGACGACGGCGATGATGGCAAAGCTCGGAGCAGCAAACGAACTGGGGGGGGCGGGAAGGGTCCTTCGAGGCAACCGCCGGTGCGCAAGCTGTCCCACGAAGCCGCGACCATGTTCGGCTTCTTGGACGAGGAGGAGGACGGCGGCGGGGAGGCGGAGGCGAAGACCGAGCAGCGGCTGAACAGCTGGGACAGGCGGCCGAAGAGCATGAACGCCGCCGACATCTCTGCTGTAGACTCGATCGGGGCCAACGCCATGGCCTTCTTCGAGAAGAAGAGGCTCCAGAAGAAGCAGAGGGGGGAAAGGTCGGGGAACGGATCAGTGGTGGCGGGGTCACCGATGAAAGTCAAGGAAGCAGAGGAGAAAAAGGAAGACGAGGCAGAGTCAAGCTCATTGCTAAGAAACTGGCAGCCGCAGCTGCAGGCTCTACCGCGGCAAGAAGAGGCCGCGGAGGCAAAACCGGGGGCGGAATACGACGCATTAGCCGCGGCGGTGGTGGCACCGGCCGACGACGCGAAGGGCCCGGCGCACGCCGACTCGCAGCTGTCTCGCACGCCCAAGCAGCTCGGCTCGACCCGGGGGAACGCGTGGCAGACAAGAGAAGCGATCCTTGTTACGCCGCCTAGAGGTGAGGGGGTAGGCTCTGCCGCTTCGTCGCCGCCGCTGTGCCCGTCTCCGTTCGTTGCGGCTCGTCGGCCGAACCCCTTTGCGGAACCTAAGCCAGCAACGGGCGGCGGCGAAAGCGATGAAGCTGGCGGGCGCGCTGCGAGAGCTGTGGTGGTGGAGCCTTCTAACTCCTTGTGCGCGACTACCGGCGCGGTGGCGCACGCCGTAGTTCCCTACGAGCACGCCTCCCCGCCCATGTGGAAACCTTTTCGGCCCATCGTCGGCCCCGATGCCGCCGCTGCTGTCGCCGGTGGTGCTCTGCGTGCGGGTGCGAAGGAAGTGAAGGTCCCGCACAGCACCACCCTGGAGCCGCCGTCTCTCGGCCCTGATGATGTCTCGGGCAGCGGCGATGTCGCTCGCCCGGCTGTCGACGCTCCGGCTTGTTCTCTGGGAAACGGCAACACTGACGCAGTGGGTAAGGAAGACACCGCGGAAGCTTGCGAATGCCCTCTGGGCAAAGGGCGGGCGGACGTCGTTGGGACGACGAGCAACGGTGTTATCGGCAAAGGTGGGGGGGCGACGGCGGCGGGGTGGACCGGTGCCCCGCGCACGGAAGAGCGGCAGCGGCTCCGACAGGATCAGCTCGACCTCGTGAAGCAATCGGACAAGACGCCCATGACCCTGCCGTTGATGGACGGCAGCACCCACGCCCCGGAGGCGGACGACTTCAGCGAGATGGCGATGTCAGTCGGTCCCGAGAAGTCCAGAAGGAGCAAGCAGAAAGCACTCGCCTCTCCCGCCGCCGCCGCCGCCGCCGTCATGTCCGGGGACGGCAACAATGGTGGCGTACAGATCGGTCAAGCGAGTGGCGCGAGAGCTGCGAGCAGCGCCGTCAGTCCGTCCAGCGACGCCGGCACGACTTGGCTGACGCTTTCCTCGACGACGCCCGTCACGCCTCCGTCGAACGCGGTCTCCGGTGCGGGTCTGTCTTTGTCGAGAGAGGACCGCGCTGTTGCCGTTGCCGGCGGTGAGTTGGAGGAGCCGGAGCCGGTGGCCCCTGCGGGCGCCGCTGCCGCCGGTCTGTCTCAGGAGCCTTTCGGGCGGAGTGCTCCGGCCTGCGGCGCTCACGACCTCGGTGGGCAGGAGGGGGGGTTGCGAACGGCCACGGGCGTGGACGATAACGAGGCACCACAGGAGGCCGCATGCGGAGCCCTCGGCACCAGCCTTGAATCTAGCCAGAGAAACAGCAGCGAGGCAGCGGTAGGGGGCGACGGTGGGAAAGCGCAAGACGGCTCCACCGCCGTGGCCGCCGGGGGCGCAAGAGGCGGGACGCAGGTAAGGGCAACCGGTGGCGGCAGCGTGGTGGTAGCGGCCGGGACGGTGAGTGCCGCCTCCGAGCTGTGGGGCGGCCGTTCGGCATCGGCAAAGGCACGGGCGGCCGAGCTAAGAGACCGAGAAACCGCAGCAGCAGCAGCAGCAGCAGCCGCGGAAGCGGCGACGGCAGACGGGTGCACCGTGAAGGCGATGAACTCGGCCACCGCAAAGAGAACAGGCGGCACCGGCGGCGCGGTGGACGGCACCGGCGGTCACGACGGCCGGAGAGAAAAATTGCGATCGACTTCCTCTGCGCGGGCCCAAGCTGCCGCCGCGCCGCCGCCGCCGCTAGCGTCTCCGGTCAAGGCCAAAGGCAGGGTGGCCGCAATGGCCGCGAGAGTCATGGCCGGAAACTGGGGGCGTGGAGGCGACACTGCGGTGCCGGTGGGGTCAGTTGCAGGTGCTGGGGGCACCGTGGCTGGAGTTCTGGGAGACGGCGTCAAAGCGGGAGACTCTAGGCTGATATCGGCGAAAGCAGGTCGTGGAGAAGGAGAAGGTCGTTACGGGGGCGACGCAGCCGGGAGAGAGAGGGGGGTGACAGGGTCTATGAACGGGGGGCGGGTGAGGGTAGAGAGCAGGAAGGGTCCGATGGAAGGGCTTGCATTCGGAAACGTGCGGCAGAGGGCGAGTGCGTGGGACATGGCCTTGAGGAGCTGAACGTAGAGGAAGATTTATTGATTCACAATTTGTTCGCCGTCTAATAAGCATGTAATTTGGTCTGTTGAGTTATAAATACATCTGTTGTCTAGTCTAAACGTCTGAAGAGCAAGTAATGAGCCACATGGCGCACGAGGGCGAGGGGCTCTTGCATTTTTTCCAAGTGTGGGGCGTTTTATGATTAGTGATGTAGCATGACGCGAACCGCGTCTAGAGTATCGGTGCTGTGTGTGTGTGTGTGTGTTTTGGCCGCGGCTGTTTTGGGCCTCCGCCGATGTGCACAAGAGTACAGGGTATTTACCTACCGGGTAGTCGGTCTTGTTTTTTTCGTTTGTTTTTGTGATTTTGTCGATCGCTATGCTACAACAGTACCGACCCGTTTTCTTTTTTTCCGTCGCGTCTCCCCTTGCGCTAGCCGCTATCAGTTGGCGTGCTGGTGCACCCGCGTACACACACACTTATTTTGTTTCTGGTCGAGCTGTATGGTTGACGTGGTACCAACTTGAGGGGAGATATCCTTCGCGTGTGCATGCCCAGCGACGCCGGGCCAGGCTTATCTATAAGAGTGATGGGCGCTGGGGGCAATGTTGCTGTGGATTTTTGCCGTAGCCGCGGGTAGCCCCACATTGATTTTGTTCCACTCATTTGTATATGCAAGCCGGGATGGATGTGGGGGGAGGGTAATAGTTTGTGCGGTAAATGTAGTTATATCAAAGGAGCGTGAACGGGTGATACATTTAGTGTTCCATGGTCGTGATGGACGCGCAAGATCGACATTTAAGGGGATTCCACGTCCTCTTGCCGGTGTATACATGTATTTATTGCGGTAATTAAAGATGGGGACTCACGAATGCATTATACTAGTTGGTTCAAGGGACGGGGTAGCTGCAAGCGTTTTCTTTCATGTCTTCCAGGCATCGGCGGCTCTATCCCCACCCCATTGGGAGCGATACGTCGGCTCACACGGCTGTTTTTTTCGCGTTGTTTCTGGAAGCTCGTTTCTTCTGGACGACGTGTAGATTGTTCTCTTTCCCGCCCCCGCCCCCCCGTGGCAAACTTGAGCTGTGCCTCCTATTAAAGGAGGCGTGTCTGATTCGAACGGTGATGGCTTGCTCTATTGTTTTTGAGCGCCACATGTTTGTTTTGTGCGGGTTATCTATTCTCCGTTCGTTTGTTGGCATTTATACCGTGTCGTGGGAATCGTGCCGCCTGTTGTTGTTTTGTTTCGTGAGCCAAAAAACGGCTACTAATGTTGTTGAAGCAATTTCTAGAGCTATGTCGACTGTGGGAACTATCATCCCGGACGGCGGTGGCGCGACTGGGCCGGATATTTTTGGTTCAGAGGTGCATGAACGCACTCACTCGCAGTTTACGTCGCGAGTCTGGAACATGACCCTTTCGTTGTTTGTTAACTTCTACGTTGTGCTTTCCTTCATATTGCTGGATAAAGAGTGCTGTCGGATGTGTGTGTGTCTTTTATGTTGTTTTGTCCACCGGATGCAGTCGGCATTCGGCGGATATTTTTTCCGGCAATCTGAGCGCTTAACGTCACATTTTGCCACCACCACGCTTCGTCATGTTTAAGTAAATAGTGGGTGCCCAGGCTTACGCCGGGCATGTACCATGGTTCCGATTTTTCTTTTCATTTTTTTTTTCCTTCGGCCTGTTGGCCGTGAGCTCGCCCCTTGGTTTTTGTTTGATTGTTTTCTCTCTTTTGGTTTCCCTTGTGTGTACCGTTATTACGTGCATCTCTTTTTCCCCTCTGCGTTGCCCTGGTTGCATGCACGTAGGGCACTACGCTGTTGACTTGTTTTCTTTGTAAACATGTAGTCATGCATGTTTGGTTTGCCTGAGCGCTAATAACGCGTTGCGTTTTGTGCCGGGAGCCTTTTGTTGAGAATCTGATGCCACTGCTACTGGATCTGGATGGTTGGTTGGTGGGACGTGAGCGCCGGCGGTGACGTACGTCTGTTGCTCTCTCGGTTTGTCTTGTTGTTGTTCGGTTTTATCGGAAGTAGTGGTGGTGCTTGGGGGCGCGATGAAAAGGTGGATTATTTCGTTTACTGGTCCCGAACTGTTGGTAAATCTAGTATTTTTTTAGTTATTTTTTCTTTTGTTGTCGTTCCCCTGTTTTACACTACACAGCAGTGTTGTTGTGCTCATATGGTCGGACTGGTCAGCAGGTCGTTGTGTGTTTGGGCGTAACTCGTGCGGGGTACCTACCCGTTTGCTGTAAATTACCATGACGACGTTCGCATTGAGCTTGAATGGGAAAAGGTCGGAGGGGTGTATTGAGTGGAAACAATTGATCAATGCAAAGATAAATACGTGTGCGTGAGTGAAGGTGGGCAAACGAGAAATAACCATGACAGCTTATGCATATGCACAACCTGAATGAATGCGGAGCGTCCGCGGTGTGATAGTACACTTGCAGCATCGATCGTGTTTCATGTGTGCACATGAAACAGGGTGCTGCCGACGAACGGGAGAGGGGAGGGCATGTGTGCACCTCGGAGGGTGCAACACACTTCAGCTGCACTGCGATTTACACTTGAACTTGTAGACATGTAGGCTACTGCTGCTATATGTCCACTCATCATGATAGTCGGCATGTGCATGACCAATACACTAATAAAATACTTTGCGTCGACTTTTGTACGAGATGATCGACTGCAGCACTTTATCCATGCCACGTCTTTCCTCGTGCCCTCTTTTTCTCTCCTCTGCCCCCCTTACTTGTGTGATGGCATGGTGGCATGGCCCTCTGCTTCTTTGCAAAAAGTCAAGGTACTGCTGTGTGCTGGTGGATGCTCCTTGTAGCTCTGGTGCACACTCAATCGCCCGCTCATTGGCTGGTCGTCCAACAGCCCCAAAAAAAAATGTGCAAGTTGCACACACGTACGTATGCCGGGATGCTGGGAATATGCACATCAGCTATCAGCTGATGATGCACATGTGCGTACCGAGCACTTCCCATGCAAGATGACCTTCCTACGGCCGCTCTGTTTGCTGTCGTTGGCTCTACGAAATGCTTCTGGGGCTCCATCCTGCAGCCGACTCCGTCGCCGGACGAATCCAGGAGTAGCGGCGTTCGCCTGTTCACCTTTCTTGATAACCCCAGCGTCAGCTCTACACACCGGGGCTTGGCGATGGCGACCCCAACCAGCAGCGCACAGGTGGTCCACCAAAGAAGAGAGAAGAGAGCGTGGAAACCAGACTTTTGCCTTATTTTCCCCCATGCCTGTGTCCTTTGTGGGTTCGGAGCAAACCCTCATCTAGCAACCCCTTGATCGCTGTTTGGCGACATGTGATGCCCCTCATGCTGGGGTTCAGGCTGGTTGCTTCTTTCTGTTCGAATTCTTGTGCCCATGTCTGATGCTCGCACTCCAACCAGCAAAACATTTGTACTCTGTAGTTACAAAAATATAGAGTGGAATCCTTACACGCGTTCTTCAGCTGGGAAACCGTGGCATGTAACGCAGAGTATCGCTTGCGATGCCAAGTTGACATTGCGGAATGACAACAAATCTGCGCAATAACGGCGTGCAATCGATATTGACCGAACAGGAAACCAGCTTATAGCTAGACTACACAGAGAGCAAGCAAATATTACTACATGCTGTAGGTGGCCCGGTATATTGCCGGTCGAATAATGCCGGTTGCCCGCTTTATGCCGGTAAGCCGGTATGATGCAGGTACCGGCATTATAGAGGCCGGCCGACCCCTCTATAATGCCGGTTCCGGGGGTTGGTGGCCCATGGATAATAATGCCGGTTCTCAAGATTGCTTGCGCACACAGGACTGCACACTGAGCGCACCGCCACACACACACAATTTGGGGCTACTTCGACAAGGTCTGATGCTAGTTTTTGAGTCGATTCAGCATCACGGTTGCTTGTTCGGTGGAACCTGTTGGTAAGCGTCTGGGGTAGGTTGTCGTTTTTAGCTGAACACCAACAGCCTGACCACTTTTTGTCTTTTTGTTTGGATTTCCTCTGGGTTTTGTTCTTGTTCTGTGTGAGCGAGTGTTCGTCGGTTATCGGTTATGCGACACGCGCATGGGTGTTTTCAGGTGTTATATTTCGTACTGCTGTTGCTCTGCTTTCTTTCTCGATACTTGCATACGATATGCTTAATAGATGTACATAAAAAATATTTGGTCACTTTTCATGCTTCGGCGTTTCTTTCTCTCGCGGCAGCGAGTCTCTTCTCGCGGTTCCTTCTCAGGGGCACGCAGGAGGCTCGTCGGCACATTAACGCCCGTGCCCGGAGCTCGGTAGGCCTCCGTGGCGCGTGTGGTTGACGGTCAAAATTGCGAAAACTGACTCAAATCCCCGGGGACGCGTTCCGCGCTGACAAAGCCTGGCGAACCAATTCTCAAACCCATCAAACCCATCAAATGCGACGGTTTGAAATATTTGCCTCTTGCTTCTCCACTTTCATTCGTTCATTAATTCACTAATTCGATTATTCATGGTTGTGACTCTTCGTGTCATCGCATTGTCCAACAGCAGTACCCACGTTTACTACACTTCGCAGCGGGCCAAGTGTAGACAAGTCTGGGAGCATGCATCCAGCCGCAGTGTTGAACATGTCCCATTTGTGGTGTTGTTTCGGCTTCAAGTTCGGTTCTCCTCGGAAATCTGCCATCATCAATCAAAGACATCATGGAAGTCTGAGTTTTCGCTGCCAAAATATTGTCCGCTCGAGCTGGCTCCAATGTAGAATAACAACGTGCGCGATGTTTTGTGCGGAAATACAAACGTTGTAAGACACGCAGTCCCTCTTCGGGCAATGCGAATGTGGTCTTGCGTCACCTGAGGGAGGGTAGACACCCACATCCCGAAGGGAGACCTTGTATTATGTGTATTTTTGCAAGTGACGGGGAGTCACCAGAGGTGAATATTGTACGTCAAGGAAGAGTTCGTCCACCGACACTGCTCTGCCAAGAACATCAAAAAGGTCAGGGGGTAGAACCAAAGATACATGGAGGAATGAGCTAACATAAGGAGGGCCCTTCGATGCACGCGCGTCTGAAATCTGCTTGATCGCGGAATGCTTGCCAAACTCCTGGCACAGCATCCACTGTCATATTTCCCCATTACATCATGCTTGTGGTGTGTGTGTGCTCAACGTTTTCGTATTGAATAACTCGACGGTTTCCTATATAGTGCCGGTACCGGCATTGTAGCGGGATTCTCAGACCTTCAGTCATGCCGGAATCGGCATTATGGAGGCCGATTCTACATAATGCCGATCTCCCGCTATAATGCCGGTGAATCCGGATGTCCACCACCGGCATTGTACCAGGCCACCTACTGTACAGATGGGGCCCGCAGTTAAGAAAAAATCTGCTAAGAAAAAAAGGCTCAAACTTTTACGGAAAATATGAGAAAAGGTCGAAGAAACACAGCTCAATCTCGGGAACAACATAAGAAACGTCCCAACAAGAAACATGATCGTGCGATACCCAAAGACAAAAAAAACAAGGGGTAGAAGCTGGGGGAGCGTGTCCAAAGAAAGTCCCACTGCTGCTGCTGCTGCCATGCTCCCAGCTCCTACAACCTAGCTCATGTCATGTAATATTTTGGTAGGGGCGGAGTGGTTATTTTCGCGGCGTCCCCTGCGCCCCAGCGCCGCCGCGGGCTGCGCTACCCACTGCTGCTGTACTTCTGCACTGCCACAACCCCCAATGTTCGCCACGCCGAGCTGTCGGTTTAATGCTACGTGAAGGCCTTTTTTGGTGTGTTGTTTTCTTCGCCATTAGAAATGAGAAAATACAGCAGGAATGGGAGAATCTGCAGGATGCGACAGCCCAAAGGAAAAAGAAATCTTTTTTAAGAAATTGACCGACTTCGGCCGGTCCTTCTGCCCAGAATAAGAAATTGAGGCTCGACCCGATTTTGACGTTTCTTATCTCCGGGCCCTATCTGTACACCCTACACATCGAATATCTAACTGGTCTGAAATATTTGAGAGGTTTCGTAATCCTGACCCTAACCAACTCTAGCCCCATATCCTCGCAAAGGCTTCTGCTGGTGGATGGGGGAGGGATCAGTGCGGTCGCTCTTTTGTCTACTACTTTTTTGTTATTTGTTTCTTGGAGCGTTCGCAATCTCAGCCAAAAGAACAGCTTGGGTAAACAGCTAGACTGTGCAGTCATTGCCCTCGCCAACAGGTACACCACCTCGTGTGCGAGATTATTTTTTTGGGATATGGTTGAGCACGTCCGACATAAAGATGATAGAAAACAGTAGCTCTACACGATTTAGCAAGTCGCATCAACGCCTCCGTTGGCTAGTCTACGTAGCAAGGTGGACGTCCACTCGTCCTTGTTCTCCCACGGTAAGTACTGGCATTAGAACATTGCCAAGCATCAGCGACAAAACGGACAAGCGCTCGTACAAGACAGACGACCCTTGCGGACAAGGGCCGTCACGTCTTAACGGTTTCAAGTGGACGACATCTCAAGCCCCCGTGACAGGCAAACACACACAAGACGAAAACCGGGCTTTGCCAACTCTCTCGCAGAGCCCACAAAAACGTTGTAATTGCCATGGAGCAACGGAACGACGATTTTTCGAGCTATGTATCGACAGCCACGCACTTCATCTGCACGAGCATCACAAGCCAGCCCCAAAGTTCTAATTGGCGAAGCTTTGCATTTCATCTCAAGGACCAGGCCTAGCTTGTACTTCGGCATCCTCATTGTCCAACCCCGCATCTATCTCATCCCCGCCCCCACGGTTGCTCGCAAACTTCATGCTAACTTTTCAGATACAACGGTTGGTTCGTTCAAAAGGGGAATATATATGCGTTCTGTACACGCCGACCGAGAAGTCGCTGTGTAGTATCATGTAGAAAGACGGGCCAAACGCCACCACACCACTCTCGTTGAACTGTCCCTGTTTTTTGTTCCGCTTCGCAGGCGCACCGCCCAGCGGCGAGGCACAGCAACAGCCATGGCCACCACCGTCGAGGATGAGGTGGAAGCGCCGGAGCCAGGGGACGGTCCCAGGCTAGGCTTCGTCGGTGCCGGGATGATGGCGACGGCGATGGTCAACGGTATCGTGGCGTCGAAGGTAATCGGTCCGCTTACGCCCTCTTTCCCTGCCCTGTTTTCTTTGCTCCTGCTTTTTGAAAATATTCATAAGGACACAGAAAGACTGCCCATTACCACAGTCGGAAGTCTTGTACTGCCTATGGCGCCGACCAGTGCTAATGATGCTCTTCGCTCCTATTAATAGCTGCATGTGCACTCTTGCCCATATTTCCAGGTTTGCTTCGTACGAAATAGTCGCGGTGCCGGGCTAGAATTGGTTTGCTTGCTTATGTGTTGTCCGTTGGCGACCGTAGACGTACGTAAGAACTAGAACGGAGGCGTGGCCACGAAGGGCGGTCGCTGCTACTGTGGGGTGGGTGAGGGGGCACATAGGTTTGGAGATCCGGCTGCCGTGGGCGATCAAAGCAGCAGGAGTTTTTGTGGTTGTTGTTGTGGTTGTTGTTGCTACTGCTGTTGTTATCTTCACATTGAAAAACCGTTCCGTTCTCTCTACCCAGTAACGTCTTCTGTCCGTACCGTTCTCACACCTGACGCGGTATTCTAAATTACATGGACCGAAAGGGTCCAAGAGTCGATAGAAGTCAACGATAGGTAGTCTAGAACCCTCCGCTCGCCTCTACACGCTATGCGAGGCAAACGTAGACTGGGAGAAAGAAGAAAAAAGGAGTTAGTTTGGAAATTTATCGGAACCGGAAGGACCTGCTGTTTCTGGTACGGGACAAACGTATGAATGTGGCCGCAACACGAGAACAACGGATTGGAATCCGTGGTTGCTTTGGTTCTTCGCACCGTCGTCGCGAAAACATCGTCATAACGCTCTGGGCACCATACCCTACGCCGCCTGTCCTCGTTCTCGACTTTTGAGTTGGCTATCTCGTTGGTATCCGCGTCTCGAAACGCTGGTTGAAACAAGGGGCAACGAGATGTGCCATCGCCACCAGTAGTGTCGGTCGCGCACGCGTACGGCAGGACTTGACCACTAGCAGGATCCTCTCTTCTGCCAGCTAGAATGTGTTAGAATGTCTCCTCTCTCCGGCTAGGGTGTTAGCGCACTTGTTTGTCTTCTTGAGGATGATTTTTCATGAGTCGTGGGCGCGGTTCAAAGACAGAGCTCCGAACGAACAGTCCACCGCTCTCCGCTCCGCTTCCGTTCAACCTGCACTCGACGGCAGTCGAGCGTAGGAGCATTTGTCCCGACCCAACTATTATTGCTGTGGATGGAGCAATCTGTTCTTCTCTTCGGCAAGTTTGATGCCCTATTGCCTCGAACGGTTCTATGTGATCTGGTTACCACAGGTGACGGAACCAGACAATGTCTTCGTGAGCGCGCCGCACAGGTCGAGCTTGGACCGCTTTGCTAAGCTGGGCGTTCGCACCTCTGACATTAACCTTGAGGTATGCATAGGTGGCTGACGAGGCTCCGAACCTGTTTATTTGTGTGTTTCGCCTGTTTCTTCACATGTTTGTGTTTTGATGTGTCAAGGTGGTTGTCCGGTATTGCTCTCATTTGTATTTTAGCGTTCTGCCCTTCATCACCGTTCTGGTTGCCTTGATGTGAAGTTGACTACTGGACACATCAACCTCTAGATAGCAGACTGAGACCCCACGCCCCCGTCCCACCCATTGCGTCTGGAGCCGCGCGTCGGTTCACGTTTGTGGTAATATAGTATTCAAACTATGGATGAATATGTGAAGTTGGGTACGACAACGGCGCGTACTCGCGCACGGGTAACATTGTGCTCGTGGAATAGAAATCGACAAAGTTTTATTTTGTAGTCTGTCCGTGACATGTTGCTCCTAGGTACTTGCGCACGCACGCTTCTTATTGCGCTGCTTCGCATCAATCAAGAACCAATCCCGCACCGACGAAACCTGGATTGTCTGTCTGTTTGTCTGGCTGGCTGGCTGGCTGGCTGCCTGTCTGTCTGTCTGTCTGCCTGGCTGACGTGCTGCCTGTCTAGGTCGCATCCGGGTCCGACGTGGTTGTCGTTGCCGTCAAGCCCGACGTCGTCCCGGCGGTGCTGCGAGAGATCGCCCCGCACCTCAGGAAGGATGCGCTGGTCGTGTCCATCGCGGCCGGAATCCCTCTCGCCGTGTTGGAGCAGGTGAAAAAACGCCGTGCTAAGCGCTTTGGCGGCGAAATGGGTTCTGTTTCGTGCAAGACAGGCCCTTTATGGACGCGTTCTTGCTGTGTTTGCCGTGATGGCACACCTTTGCCAAGTCAGTCGCGTGATTTTTCCTCGGATTCGGGCGTGGGTAGGGTTAGAGGATATACCTCGTCACAGTTTGACTTGAGGTTTCGTAAAAGATCGTCATTTGTTCCCTGTTGTTGTTTGCCACAGTGCGAGCAGCAGCGCACAAACTTGGGAGCGAATCGGACGGGCATCTCCTCTTCCAGCTTTGCTAGTTTTCACTGATTTTTCGTTCTGCTATGCGCTTGGTTGTGTACGTACCTCTCCACGGCCGCAATGCACTTTCTTGTTTCTGGCATGCTACTAGGTTGAACAATAGAGTAATCTCGGGTTTCCTCTCTTCTTCATCCTCTCAAGCGAGATTCGGTCTCGAAACACGGCAGTCACAGCAACATTCAATAAAAAAATTGAGGTTCTCAACCCCCTCGCCTCTTCACCGCGCCACCCTTTTGCCGGCGCCCCCGTCCCCCTTGTCGTCCCAAATTCATTATCTCGTTGCCTTACGATCTTCAGCTCGCTCCCGGCAAGCGCGTTGTCCGTGTCATGCCCAACACGCCCTGCCTTGTGTCCGAGGGCGCTACCGGTTTCTCGATGGGGTCTCTGGCCACCGACGAGGACCGGGATACGGTACACGCCCTAATGGGGGCTGTCGGCCTCGCGGTGGAGGTCAAAGAGGCGTTACTTGACGGTGAGAGAGGGGGGGGGGATCGGGGCCCCCATGGCTAGGGATCTAGGTATGGGGTACGGGGGGTCTGTTGGCCTCAGTTGGGGTAAGGGTTAGTTTATTCCTTCGGCCAGCGACTTACTATGTCGGGCGGATGGCTCGAGCATAGTGGTGGTGGCGCCCCCCCGCCGGTCCCGCTTTAGCACTCCATCGTGTGCACCCTGCGCTTACACGTGCTTACGGCCTGTGGGGTGACACCCGGATGATGGCTGACAATATCCATTTTCATGCACGATATCCCTCCCGCCCCCCCTGTACCTTACAATCTGCTGTGCCCCCCCGCCCTGTCGAAGACACGTGATCAATGGTCTAACGGCTAAGTCATGCAAAACATGAGCACCGATCTCTCTTAACCCTCTGCGGCTCACCAGGCCTGACCGGTGTTAGCGGTAGCGGGCCGGCGTACATTTACGTGCTGATCGAAGCGCTGGCGGACGGCGGCGTCCGGATGGGCTTACCGAGAGCGATGGCGATCAGACTCGCCGCGCAGACCGTCAAGGGTGCCGCGGAGATGGTTCTAGAGACGGGAGAACACCCAGGTGGGCCAAACAACGTTCGGGGCTTTGGGGCTAGGGTGTCGGGTAGGAGTGGGTTGTCTTGACCCTTGGGCCTGCAGTAAAACAATGCTTGTGAATTCGTCGCCGGTTGTTGAACAGTATTTTACGTCGCGCAGAACGAGCAACGAAGCTGCTGGCAATGGTTTGTACAGCAGGTGTTGAAGTCACCCTCGCTGGTTGAGGGGGTATTACTGCCGTTGTATTGTTCCCATGGCCCCTCCTTGTTCGGATGATATCTTCAGAGGCCTTGCTCTCGCGTTGCCGTCGTGGTATTACTCTTTGGTTTTATTCGTCTCGACCAAGGGTCGTTTTTCTTGTAATTTATGTTGGGAGACTTTAGGTGGACCACATCTATCAGAGCAATGATGCCCAACCCCTACGAATAATCCGCACTCTCACTGGCTATGGACGGTTGCAGCCGATATTGTTTGTAAGGGCTACCAACATGTTGTCAACTCTAACCCGCTCCATTTACCGCCAAACAGCGATAACACCTCCGGTTAGCGTGCCATCTATTCCATTGGATTGCGCGTCTGTTACTCGTTCGTCTGTCCGTTTGTTTGGTTGTTGCTGATGTTGGGATGTCCGACGGCGTGCTTGGCGTGTCTATCTTCCACATGCCTTCATCCTGCCCAGCGGTGGCCTTAAGCGATATTGATGTGTTGAGCTCGTCGGCGGATGAGCTTGCGCTTTCACCCCCTACCTCCGGCCCCTGTAGAAGCAGCGGGTTCCTCAACGACCCTGCGCACGAGGGACATCTCGTTGATGACCCCTCCCCGCCGGCGGCTACGTCGTGATGAAACGCCATCGATCTCCTTTCCGCTGGATGTATTCGTCGATCGATGCCGTCAAACGTACGCCTTTTGATGTGTGTTCTGTCGCTTCTTCTACGCCTCTGCTTCTCGTGTCGTGATTGTGAAGCTGTTCTCAAGGACAACGTGTGCAGCCCAGGGGGGCTGACGATCGCGGCCATCGAGTCTCTCGAGAAGAACGGCTTTCGGTCCGCGGCCATGCAGGCGGTTATCGCGGTCGCGTCCAAGTCTATTGAGATGCGCAACGCGGAGGAAGAGAAACGCACGAAGTAGAAGAAGTGACAGTAATTCTTTCAAAGCGTATTCTTCTACAGGATGGGAGTGTGGAACAGTTCTGAGGGAGGCACAGATATTGCACGAAGTGTGGTTCAATGAAGAAGCAGAAGAGCAGACGTTTGTGAGGCGGGCGGTGGGAAGGATTGGCGGAGTACTCGTTAACAATCGAGTGGAATCAGGATGTTGGCACCATCGTCGTAGACACGAAGAAAGTGATGGTCTTCATTGACCGTTGTATGGATCGCTATTCTCCTGTAAAAAGCGCCATTGGCTTTCGTGTACGTTAGTTAATTTTCCCGTGTTTCTAGTTCGGTGAGTATATTTTCCCGTGTTTGTAGTTTGGTGAGGGCGTCAGGTGTTCACGTAGTAGCAATAGCAGATCGAAGAGTTCCTGAACAACGCATCTGTACCTTCGACACACATAACGTAGTAAAAACCAGCGGTGGTGTTTTGTTTGCCCCGTTCTTTCTTGCTGCCTTCGGCTCTCACTGAAATGAGCGTTGCTTCTGAAATGTGACCACGATCTGTCTCCGCATGTTACCAAGACGCTGCTTTCATGGAGAACCTGATTGTTGCAAGAATAGAGCCTCAGCCTTTTGAGCATTGACCACTCATCCATTGCGAGACAGAGCACCTTCTCGTAGTCTCTTAATGTAAAATCTAAATAGTCCTCCGACATTTTCCCGCGTTTTTTTAACGCTTTAGCCGTCATACCTTGTAGACATGATCACCCTAAGACCTGAAAGCTCGAGATATACCTTGAAAGGACTGGCGGTTACTTTTCTTTTGCTCTCCGATTGAACTCCGTCGCTACTCCTTCAATCTACCCCAAGACGTTGCCTTTCCCTTTCCAACCGAAGACATCGGGTCCAGGGTATCTCTCACACAGAGAACTACGCTGCGGTGCCCCCTTAGAGCAGGGGCTAGCTTGCTGAATAGTGGATGTTTTCACATGAAAACCCGTTCTGGTCTCTGCTCAGGACCTGTAAACGTCCGTACCGGTGCCACTGACGGCGATGCCTCCTTCCCGTGGTCACAGGCCGACTACCCCAACCTGGCATCTCGCTTTTGTATGGATCCTCAAAAGAGAAAAGCAAAGAGGACCCAGACAAACCAAAAACAACGTTACAATATACTGTAGCAGAACAGAGCCAGAAACATCCCCATACGGTCAGCGTCACCGGCGACGTATCCTACGAATGAGGTATGCAAAGTCTACACAAACAGAGCCCATCGAAGAAACCGCAGTACCTTCGATACATTTACACCAACGAGTAGACCTGGCTCCCAGAGCAGCGGGGACGAAACACAACGTACAACACACACATGGTTCGGTCGGATTTTCGGCAGCACAGTTAATCGGTACCGACGAGAATGGACCCATTGCTTAGGGCAGCACAAACCACGACGTTTCTTGGACACCAGCCCATCAACCGTCTACGTTCGACAGAAAAAATCGTTGTCACACCACGTACAATGGCTTGATCTCCAGCCACCTGTCGCTCCAGTGACGGCACCTTTGCGGACAGCGTTCCTGGATATCAAGGGGCGAACCTTCATCTTCGTTCCTCTCAAACATACCCCTTGGTATGCCAACGGTGGGCACTCTAACAAGCTCTAGTCCAGGTAAATGGTGTAGCAACACATTTGAATACGTCAAGAAACCAAACTCTTGACGATGCGCACGTCGACGACAATGCATCTGACCCCGAAGCGGTCAGCTTGTTCTCGTCCATTCAGACTCGACCTATACGACGCGCAAGATATCACACCCACACACAATACCACACATGGTTGTACCACCTTTACGGGTCAACATGAACCCAAGAGATAAATTACACGCGGAGAACGAGTCATTCAAATGTGTTTCACAAGGACAGAATCTCCCACCGAGATTCCCAAACCTTAAATACTCTTTACCAGGAAGACGGCTGCTACATCATGCAAGGATTGCACAATTGCAATGATGATTTGATGTACCTGAAAGGAGGCATTCGAAATAGTCTATGTATTTCATGCACATGAAATAACAACTCTCCCTCATTTGATTTCGTGGAAATGAATGCTGAACACGTGTGCTGAGTTTGGACTGTAGCACCTGTACAAACATCAATCCATTCTTTTCAACACTCACGCTGAACCAAACCACGCAATTGTCTCGAACCCCCCCCGAGCCTTTCACAACAGGCTTTCTCCACCACGTGTCCCAGATCGCAGCGAAGTTGGCCACACGACTCCGGCGATAGGTTCATCGAAACTGTCCCCGAACGACAGCTTTTGCAGAAAAACGGGCCACACGACTCCGGCGATAGGCTGATTGAAACATATCCCGAACGATAGCTGCTGCAGGAAGGACGGCCACACTACACCGGCAATAGGCTGATTGAATCTGAACCCGAATGTTAGCTTTTGCAGGGAAGACGGCCTCGAGACTCCGGCAATAGGCTGATTGAATATTGCCCCGAATGATAGCTGTTGCAGGGAGGATGGCCACACGACTCCGACAATCGACTGATTGAAGCTGTCCCCGAACGACAGATTGTGCAGGGAAACCGGCCACATGACTCCGGCGATAGGCTGATCGAAGTTGTACCCGAACGATAGCTGTTGCAGGGACGCCAGCCAAACGGCTTCGGCGATAGGTTGATTGAAGCTATCCCCGAACGCCTGCTTTTGCAGGGAAGCCGGCCACACGACTCCGGCAATAGGCTGATCGAAGTTGTACCCGAACGACAGCTTTTGCAGGGAGGATGGCCACGCGACTCCGGCAGTGGGCTGATTGAAGTTGTCGCCGGACGACAGCTCTTGCACGGACGCTGGCCATGCGACTCCGGCAATAGGTTGATTGAAGTAGGGCCCGAACGATAGCTGTTGCAGGGACGCCGGCCATACGACTCCGGCAATGAGCTAAATGAAATTTCCCCGAAGTGCCAGACATTGCAATTGCACCGGCCACCACACGTTCTCCACGGCAATATCCGAATCTGCGAACAATATCATCTGTGTCAGCCCCCAAGCCACTTCTGATCCCAGGCTAGACGCACACGACAATCCCTACAGCTCAAGACGTTGCGACGACGTCCACAGCTTGGTGACGGCTTTCATCAGCAGATCTTCCATGGACAGGGCCCACGTCAAGCCAAGAGCCCGCACGACCGGTAGACGGCTCGAGATACGGAGCTTCCAGCTGCGAGCGTTCGGCCGGGTCTGTGTTGTCCGAGATAACCACAAGCTTTGAGGGGTCTGATCATTTACACGCACGTGCAAAATCGACGTACTTCGGCACGCCCTGCACATGTCCAGCCAGCGAGGTCAGCTGCAGCTCCAGTGTCGACACATACCAGCGTTTCTCCCCTCCCTCGCACGCTTGGCTCAAGGCGACGACAAAGGCATCGAGGCACTGGGTGCGCCCTAGCAAAAATGACCGAACGATTTTCCAGCAAGAGAGGTCGGATGTGTGGGGCAGTTTCTCGTGTTGATGCCAGAATGGGCGATCTCGATCGGGGACAGGGACAGAAGGGAACAGCTGCCCTGTTCCCGTGTGTTACCAAAACGCCTCGGTTGTTCCCGGAAACACGTCTACGGCAACTGGATACGAAGAGGCAGAGATATCGAAACCTTGTGGGTAGTGCTGGCGAATAGGTGTTTTCTTGACAGGGCGGGTAGACTGCTCGTTGCCTTGGGGGGGGCATGAGTGGCAAGGGAGAAAGCGGCCAACCTCCGTTGCCAAGACACACGATAGAGCTCCCAGGGTCCCACCAGGCTGTATACGCAAGCGCTCGATATCACCGGCGTTCTAGGTTCCAACGAGGCCGTTTCAACCAGGCCGTGTTGGCCGACGATGGCCGTGTTCCGACTTCTGTGAACGTTGAGTAGGAAGCGCAACTCGGACCCTCGTTTCGTGGCACTCAACAACTGTGTGTCGCAGTAGTGGGCACTCGACAAAACTTGCAGCAGTGAGCTCAGAATTCGTATTCTAATACTATTCGTGATTTTTCGTGCTGCTATGCCCTTTGGTCGCGTACGTACCTCTCAAAGAAGGTCCACTAGAAGGTCCACTAGAAATCGTTGTTGCTGGCATGCTACAACGCTGAACAATAGAATAATATCGGGTTTCCTCCTTTCTTCATCCTCTCAAGCGAGATTCGGCCTCGAAACACGGCAGTCACTGGCAGTCACAGCAACGTTCAATAAAAGAATTGAGCGTCTCAACCCCCTCGCCTCTTCACCGCGCCACCCTTTTGCCTGTGCCCCCGTTCCCCTTATCGTCCTAAATTCATTATTTCGCTGCCTTACGCTCTTCAGCTCGCTCCCGGCAAGCGCGTCGTCCACGTCATGCCCAACACGCCCCGGGGGGAACACTGGTACCCCGGGGGGGAATTGAAATACCCGGGGGGATCTTTTTGTTTTTGGTCGAAAACGATCTACCCCGGGGCTAAATCAAAGAAACCATGCTTCCAGGCCCAAAAAGTATTGGGGGGAGGGGAAAACTCTACTTGGGGGGGGGAAACTCCGACGCTTACTGTAGTTCTTTCCTTCGGCCGGCGACTTCCTCTGTCGGGCGGATGGCTAGAGCATATTGGTGGTGGCAGGCCACCGGCGGTCCCGCCTTCTCACCACATCGTGTGTACCCTGCGCTTACGGCCTGTGGAGTGACACCCGGACGATCTCTGACAATAGAAGTGCATGATATCCCTCCCGCCCCGCCTGTACCTTACAATCTGCCGTCCCGCCCTCCTGTCGAGGACTCTGGGACACGCGGTCAATGAGCCAACGGCTGGGGTATGCCAGTCATGAGTACAGATCTTTCTTTTCCCTCTGCGGCTCACCAGGCCTGACCGGTGTTAGCGGTATGTGGCGGGCCAGCGTATATCTACATGCTGATCGAAGCGCTGGCGGACGGCGGCGTCCGGATCGACTTGACGGAGCGATGGTTGTTAAGCTCGCCGCGCAGACCGTCAAGGGTGCCGCGGAGATGGTTCTAGAGACGGAGGAACACCCAGGTGGGCCCAACAGCGCTAAGGGCTATGGTGTCGGGTAGGCGTGCGTTGGCTTGACTCTTGGGACTGCAGAGTAAAACGCTTGTGTGTTTCGTCTCCGTATTTTTGCAAGTATTTTTCTTCGTGCAGACGAGCAACGATGCTGCTGGCAATGGTTTGCAGAGCAGGTATTGAAGTCACATTCGTTAGTCGAGGGCATATAACGGCCGTTGTGTTGTGTTCCCATGAGCCCTCCTTGTTGAGATCATGTCTTCGGAAACCTTGCTCTCGCGGTGCTGGCGTGGTACTAAGCGATGGTTTTGTGGGTCTCGACCAATGGTCGTTTTCCTTGATGGTATTTCATGTTGGGAGACTTCCGTTAGACCACATCTATCAGAACAATGGCATCTATGCCCCCCACGAACAATCCACCTTTTCACTGGCTACGGACGTGTGCAACCGGGAATGCTTCTAAGGGCTACCAACGTGCTGTCAACTCTAATCCGCTTGGTTTACCGTCAACGGCGATAACCTCCGGTTAGCGTGGCATCTTGAAACTCTATTCCATTGGATTGGGCGCCTTAGGCTCGTTCGTCTGTCCGTCTGTTTGGTTCTGGATGATGTCGGGATGTCCGATCGCGTGCTTAGCGTGTCCATTTTTCACTCGCATTTTGCCTCTTCGACGGTAGCTCCTTATGCGATATGCATGTGTTGTGCTTGTCGGCGAATGAGCTTGCGCTTTCACACCCTACCTCCGGCCCCTGTAGAAGCAGTGGGTACCTCAATAATTCTGCGCACGAGGGACATCTCGTTGATGACCTCTCCCCGCCGGCGGCTTTCGTCGTAATGAATCGCCTTCGATCTCCTTTCGGCTGGATTCATTCGTCCATCGATACCGTCAAACGTACCCCCTTTAATGTGTGTTCCGTCGCTCCTCCTACGCCTCTGCTCCGTATGTGGTAATTGTGAAGCTATTCTGAAGGACAACGTATGCGCAGCCTGGGGGGGACTGACGATCGCGGCCATCGAGTCTCTCGAGAAGAATGGTTTTCGGTCCCAGGCGACGCGCGGTATTTAGGTGGCGTCCGAGTCCGTCTGATGGACGGCGACGTTGATAATCGCCCCTTGTTTCGGGTTACTGGTGGGTGTGCTACAGCAGCAGCTCTTTCGTGGACACTTTTGAAGTCGTTGTTGGCGGTTCCTACCAATAGTGTTGATGTCCTCCTTGGCATCATCCCCTTGGATTCGTGTGTTCCTTCTTCTTTCCTTCTGCCGGTGACTTACTACGTATGTCGGGCGGGTAGCTAGAGCGTATTGGTGGTGAAGAGCCACCGCCGGTCCCGCCTTAGCACTCCATACTGTGTGCCCTGCGCTTACGGCCTGTGGAGGGACATCCGGACGATCGCTGACAATGTAAATGCACGATATCCCTCCCGCCCCCCCGGTATCTTACAATGTGCAGCCCCCCCCCCCCCCCCCCCCCTCGGGACACGCGGGCCTTTTTTCAACGGGGGGGGGATTCCAAAAAAGAGAACCCATTTTTTTTTTCCTTTTTTGGTTCACAAGGGTTTAACTTTTTTAGGGGGCGCCTTC